GCAGGTATGAAAAAAGGCAACTTTTTTTTAGTTTAAAGGTTTATTCAGACAAATTGGGAAATGGCCAGTGGTATTTATGTAACTGTCCCCAGCAGCTATGGTGGCCCAGCTGCAGAAGTGCTTTGGATGCTGCTGCAGAGAACAGGACAGCTGTTTAGTTGGCTATAACAGACTTTACAAGCCAAAGCATGAGTCTGAAAACTAGCTGAGTCCTCCTCCCTTCTGGCCCCAGTGCCTGTGGTGCTTTCTGTAAGAGTTAGAAAGAATCTATTCCGGCTTCTGGCTCTGCTCCTGGGAGAACAACCTTTTTTAGAATTGCCAGGTAGTAGGGTCCATACACCTGCCTGTTGTGATAAATCACACTGCCAAATCTGTGGCTAACTTCCAGCAGTTCTTCCTGAATTGGAGCAAGGCCTTTTGGGAGACTGCGAGAGTTCTGGGCACTAGGAGACAGATGAAGGCTGAGAAATGAATGGATCCGCTGCTCTGTACGTATGAAAAGAAAGGGTGTGATAGGAGCAGTCAGTCAAAGGGAAGAGTGAACATCTGACAATTTGAGACACTATCAGCTCAGCAGCATAGATATAGCTCTGGAGAGAACAGAAGGGAAATCATCCTGGTATTATAAAACGAAAGTGCATAGCAGATGTCAGAATGCAACATGGAATTTAAGATTGTGCTTAAATGCAAAAACTGCAACAACACCGCTCAGTGGGAAAGACTTAGTTTGAAATAGCTTGGTAATTTACATATTACTATGGTGGGCTAGTGGATAGAGCACTGAACAGACTCAGGAGACCTGCATTCCATTGCTGGCTCTGTAACCAAGTCACTGTGCCTCAGTTTCTGCATCTGTAACATAGGTGGTATTGTCATATGGAGCTTTTCACGGCTTGATCATTATCATTTAATGACTTCTGGAGAAGGAATGAGGATCTCAGTCTAGGGGCACTAGGTACTCACCCTTGTGGCAGTCTGAGCAAAGAGGCCAAAGACTGACCTTACATGGGGAAAGCTTACATGGTGGTTGCCTATGCTAGACCAGTCCTGGGAAAGGACTTCACTTTAGGGCTCTAAGGCCCAGCATAGATTGTAGATAAAGATGTAGGGTGGCCTCATTTTTAAAGTAAAAAGCCAGCACATTAGACATTTACTCAGGGACTCACCAATTACGCTCCGCACAGCATTGTCCTCCTCTGCAATGCTCCTTATCTGGCCTTTAAGGGAAGCAGATTTATCGCTGGTGAAAGCAGGGTAACCCACTTGCAAGAGAGATTCACTAACTTCCTGGTGCACATGATTGCTGATGTCCAGCAAAGCTTCTCCAAACCTAAAATCAGAGGCATGTTCTATATTCTTGGGCTGCTTCACAGCAGTGGAACAGCTAGGAAATGCCCTCCACAAACCTGTAGCCAGGAACATCATGATGGCAACATAAGGCACAGACAACCAGCTGTACTCGTTTGGTGTCCCATAAACTAAGCTGCCCTAGTGCTTGTTACTGTGATCAGAATGATCAGCAGCACTGGTTCCCCATTAACCAGTGAGTCACCAGTTCTAGGGAATTAGTTCCCAGCTGGAAACTCCTCCCCCAGCCAGAAGCCCTGGCCCCTATTTGGATTTTAACTATCCTCTGAGTTCCAGTGTGGATTTCTGCAGCTCTTCTCATTCCCAACCAGCACCTGTCTACTCACTTGTCTCCCTCTGGAAAAGATAATGGTAAAGCAACCAACCTGGTGTGAGGGAGCCCTTCCAAGAGGGCCTTTGTTACCCGTTTCAGCCTATCTACAAACCCAGGCGAGCTGAACAAGGCGCTTCCACACACACTGCTGGACACTAGCAGGACTGCAGCTATGATTGTTAGCTGATTCACTTGCAACTGTACCTCCTGCAGCCGGGCTTGGTCCATCAACAGAGTCTGCAAAGAAAGATCAAATCCCCCTGTGGGCATGGGGAGAGCTGTGCTCACCAAGCAGGGAGATTCTCAAGTTAGTGAATCGCCATTGCCCTTCCTTTTCTGTACAGATAATGGGAGAGGGCTCCCCTATGGAGAAGGGTGTGAACCACTGATCAAACACAAACTCCCAGAAGCAGGAAAGGCCTTATGTTTTGCAGGGGACCCAAGCTAACAGAAGAAGGAAAATAAGCCACAGGCTAGAAGCTTCCACTGCCAAAAAGGGATAGGGGATCCAGCAGAGAGCTATTTTCCCCCCTTGCAGTCCTGTTGCCTGGCCCTGAGACAAAGCCAGCTCATGCTGTAGAGGTTACATAGGATTCAGGGCCCAAGCACCTGTTTATTTTGCTTATACTTAAGGCCAGTTCTAACTGCCACATCAAAGCAGCAGAGCAGTCCTCCCTGGCTGACAAGAAGATTCCTCCTACCTCAGGGTATTTCTCTATGCCTGGCTCCCAGCGGAGCAGATTCATGTATCCTTGGTTTAACACAGACATGGGACTTGGTGTAGATGAGCTCCTGTTGACAGCCCCCTGTGACAGTGGAGCGGGTGATCCATGGACCTCAGGATGGGATGGGGATGACAAAGATGATGCAGAGACTTCTGCTGCTGCTTTGTGTAACCACTCAGTTGTGTGATCCAGGCTGTCTGGAACAGGATTACAGAGAGATGTTTGTGGGAAGAATCAGACTCAGCACGGTGAATGGTGAAGGAACTGTTTTCGCTCACTGTACTACATTACACTCTGAAGAGACAGTATGTCTCAGACTGGCCACAGAGCAGTGCTGGCCCCTGGTACTTTACGAAGTGACTGACACCTGTTGAAGCTTCAGAGTCAGGCTCATTCTCATAGGACACAGCCATGTCATTGTCAGGACAGTAATGCTGGCCCAGTAGTAGTGGGACTGGAAAGGCACATGTTCAGGGCTGGTCTCAGCTAAGCTTTGTAATGTGCAGAGGGCTAGGAACTATTACTCCACATATGGTGAAACACCTAACAAAACCAGACCAGCTCTGCTGCAAGCCAGCAAAGCTGGTACAGGGAGCAGCAAAAGGTTGCTCTCTATCTGGGATAGCTTGCCTTTGATTTATTCAGTAACTTAAGTATCCACCAAAACCTTCTAGAAATGCTCTGCCAAGGGTGACTACAGGCCTGTTTAACATTTTGCCCTTTCCTCTGAGGATCTCAAAGCCTTTTATACGCTTTAATGAAATCTCACAACGCCTGCCACGGCTATTTTCTCCATATTCTGCAGGGAGAAACTGAAGCAGATTAAATAACTTGCTCTCTTTTACAAGGCAAGTCTGTGAGAAAGTTGGGACTAGAAGCCCAGTGTCCTGACTTCCAGGTACTGCTAACTACCAATCCATCCCCTGGTTAGAAGCACTTCTCCTTACATTTGACAGTTTCGCCTTTCCATCTTGTTACTAATACAAATTTGCATGAAAGACCCTTAACAGCTCTGTTTCTAGCTGCTGCTCTTGTTTACCCTGCACCTGAAGCTAGTATCTGCCACCAGCAGAATGTCTGCACCATTGGCTGATGTCAAACAGAAGACCAGTTTGAGGCAGGAAAGAAAGTAACTGGAGATGAACTAAGCAGCAGATAATCCTATTTGTGTACATTATTCCACAGTAGTAAAGAGGAAAATAACCAATGTCCCATTAACAAATACTTGTTTCACAATGAACGCTTAAAATTGTATGTGCACACTTTAAATGCTTGAGTAAGCTGTTAGGAAGACTGGTTTCTCCATGGGGCTGCTACAGCACAGCCATCTGACACAAGCCTCCCCCACACCACACACTCCATCTGCCAAGAGACCCGTGCCAAGGGTAAGCTCATGCTCCAAACCCACCAACCCTTGACTCCTCTGCTGAATCTGTCCCCTTGTGGGTGATGGCTGTCTATCATGGAAAATGATATCTCTGCAGCCCCAGGGTGAGAGCCCTTCCCCACCTGCTGAACTTTGGGAATATTAATGCACTTTGGACCTATGTCACCCTGCGTTGGTGCTCAATATTATTAATCCTTGTATAGGTATTCTTGATGATGACCCAGCACACCCCTGCACCTTCTCCCTCCTTCCCCACACGCTCACTGGGCAGCTTGACAAGGAGCTCCTGGAATTTCTTCTGCTCATATTGGACGGAGTGATCCTGCAGATGGGGCCGGAGGCTCTGGATGGTAAAATTCACCATGTCCATTTTCATCAGGTCTAGCACCCGGAAAATCTCCCTGGGGTGAATAAGAGGACAAAAAGGATCACTACGAGTGTCTCACCAATGTCAAGTTGTCCCCAGAGACCCAGTCTTCAATGCTGGGCATTCTAAGTGCACGGGGAGTCAGTACTTATGTCCTGAACTCACCAGCAGCCCAATCCAGCCCCACACACTACTCAGTGGCTTCCTTTTCATGCAGCACAGACTTTTTAAAAAAAATCTAGTTTTTGTGCTGGGGAACAGTACCAAATTGCAAGCCCCAGAGACCCATCCTACTTACCCTCAGAACTAGTACAACAGGGGCAGTGCAAGCTACTTCAGTGTTCCTCCAGGCTGTCTCTACCCTGATCTAGAGAGACCACCAGAAGGGTCAGAAGAGACCATGACCTCTCACAACAGCTATGTTCCACTGAAACAATGAAGTACAGAAGACAGGACATGGACCCAACCTACAGACTCATTATTGCAAGTAGTAAGAGAATTGGGCTCACTGCACTCAGAACTAAATGTAAAGTTCATTGCTGTGACTTAGGTTCTTCAGTCTCTCACACACACAGAAAGATAATTAGTCATTTCTCCTTCACAGCATGAAGGGAAAGACAAACTACTACTACTTTTAAACAGCTGGGGGGCACTCAGATGATATTTTGATAAGGCCATGTAAGAACAGAAATCAGGCACTATAGCTCATTCCCTTCTGGTATGACTGTCATGGAGGGGTTGGGGTGCGTGGTGTTATTCAGTGCCAATTAGGATGGAAGTTTTTGTGAAAGGGACATATGTCCCCTATGAACCGGACTGAGCCTCAAGTTCATTTCGCACTGGACTTTCCATTCCTGTGAACAACAATTTAATCCAATTTTCATTATTCAGAAACTCAAAATATCAGTGAGACAAGCTGAGGCTCAGTGTAGCAGGAGTCCGGATGTGATACGATTATTGGGCAGGAGGCAGTAGATTCCCCTGCCACAACAATCACTGACTGAGGATATGCTGATTTATGGGAGACCCACCCGTGTCCCAAACAGTGTCACGCACCTGAGCAACTGAACTGGGTCTGTCACACCCCGTAGTCTCTGCACTTCCTCGTCTCGAACAGGTGCACACAGCATCGCCATTGTACCTAAGATGTACATGGTGAGATTGGGGATGTCAAGAGCCCCATGCTCAGCCTCCTGTCTGATCAGCTCCATATCCAGGGCTTCTTCAATCTGGCCCCGCAGACGGCTGTGCCGTGGCAGCAACAGTGACAGTATGGTCTGCCCCAAGGAGAAAGTCAAAGAGAGAGTCTGTTTTTGTTCAAATCTAGGAACCCTACAGCTCGCCAGGAGCTGCACAACAAGAAGTAAAGGCTGGCCTTATAGGAATGAGGACTCGGGTGACTACTAAGCACATTGAAATGTAGGGGCCACCATAGCAGCTATAAAGGAATGTTTGTTCCTAACTGCTCCCCTTAAGGGTATACACAGAAGATGCTATGAGACCATATGTCAGCCCCTAAATAATGTGTGGTCCCTCTTCTTTCCTTTATAACAGGGATACCTTCTAGTACTCTGTGGGATGGCTTTCTGGGAAAGGAGCTGCCTCTCAGGACTATAAAAGGGGAGAGGTATGGGTCAGGTCAGGCAAGTACGTCAGATGCTGCTGTGGGCTCTGCAGATAGGTATGCCTGTTTGTTAGTTTTAAACACTTAGCTACTGTTCTAATATGTTGTGTGCTTGTGTGCATTAAAGACAGATGCTTATGTATGACTAGCCTTGGAGAGGGGTTTCTTTATAGATAGAAGAGACTGTATGCACAGTCACTGTTGGCCTAGGGAGGATTTTCAGGCCAAGGCATTTTCTCACTTTACTTCGTATGTCTCTCTCTCAGGCTTCTTTATTTAAGAAGCCTTATAACAAGTAAGGTTTTAATAAAATCAAACCCATCTAATTCATTTTTAATTCAGAAATTGTGTTCAGTCTACAATTCTATTAACAGACAACATCTACCTTTCTTAGAATCCAAATCTGCTGTACTGAAGAGAGGGTTTGGGTCCACTGAGAAGGAATGATGGGGTTCAGTTGCAAGTTAAGGGAGAAGAGGTCACCAAGTATTAATGAATGCAGCTATCCTTGGGGCAGGAAAGAGGGAATGTAAAAAGAGAGGAATACATGGTAGTTGTCCTACCACCTCTGAGCTAGCTTTCTGCTGTCTGGTGAAAACCAGTGGGTTCAATACTAATGAGACCTAAGCGGACCAGGACATTAGCCATCCTTAAGCAGAGTGTGGGTAGGGTCCTGCTCAAGAAACCACTGCATCAGTGAGTCTGGTGGCACCTTAAAGACTAACAGATTTATTTGGGCATAAGCTTTCTGCATAGCATCTGAAAAAGTGAGGTTTTTACCCACGAAAGCTTATGCCCAAATAAATCTGTTAGTCTTTAAGGTGCCACCAGACTCCTTGTTGTTTTTGTAGATACAGACTAACAGGGCTACCCCCTGACACTGCATCAGTGTAGCATAGAGATTTAAGCAATATCTATGATCAGTTATGTCCATACTGATTGTTACATGGCTCCACTGGTTTTCATACCTTTCAGGTGTAGTTGATTTGTGTGTGGGACACTGGGTCAAGGGGACAGTCTTACAGACAGGATCTAGAAGGTTGGGCCTAGTATTTACTCTTCCTTGCTGTGAATTCCACTCTCTCATGCCTCCGGTCTAATGTATGGCCACAAGGCAAAGCTTAGATGTACATCATTAACAGAGGCCTAGCTCTAAGGTGGCTGTCCTATCTCATGAACTGCTCACCTCTTTAATTTCCTGAAGCAGTTGGATCACGTGTGTGTAGTCTGGTGGACTAGCAGCAAGCTGTTCTTTCAGACTGTCCCAGAAAGCTTTGTGCAATGTCTCCTTCACTCGGCTTTCCAGGCTGAGTGGGGAGAGGGAACAAGTAACTATTATGAACATTCAGCCATCTCACACCTATCATTATGGAGGGGCTATGTCCCCACTTGGACCTCTCTGCATTTTCTTTGAACTTTTATTCTCATGTTGGAAGCAGCATGCCTCACCACTCTCCCTCCTATGCGAACCTCTATCAACCTAAATTCCACAGTTCTCCCACATATGGTTCCTACCCAGCCATCTCTTTTCCCCATAGCCAAACATACTTCAGCCTTGTCTACACTGAGGTTGGTGTGTAAGGTACGTGTAGCTACACACCACAGTGAAAAGCAGGCTATGTCTGCTCCATAGCTGCATGTGCCAATGAAAGGCTGAGGTAGCGGGAAAAGTTCTGGCAAGGAGGAGCTCCTGGAGTCTTTCCCTGCAGCAGGGAAAGGCTCCAGCAATGGGACACTGGGCAGCACTGTCTCACTGTGCAGAGAGCCATGTAGGTAGGGCACATAGCTAGGGCCCTACCAATTTCACAGCCGTGAGAAACATGTCACGGACCGTGAAATAAGCCCTACCCAGTGAAATCTGAACTCCCGCTCCTACTAGAAGCACCCTAGCCAGGGGCTCCTAGCTCCCGCTGGTCTGGGGAAAGACTTGTCCATCACCTGCACAGGCACTCTTGGGTGGACCTCAGACCCACCTCCACCTCTGGGAACCTCCTGCAGCTGCAAGAAACTCCACGGTTGCTGCCTTCAGAGTGCAGCTCTGAAAGCAGCACAGAAGTGAGGGTTGCAATCCCGTGCCCCCCTGCAACAGGTTTGTGACTCCCCACCTCCCCCCAAAATACCCTTTTGGGTTGGGAACCCCATGGTTACAACAATGTGAAATTTCAGATTTAAACATTTGAAAAGGTGAAATTTACCAATTTTCAAATCCTATGGCCATGAAATTAACCATAATGAAACTGAATTTGGTTTCATTAAGTGTTCAGGCATGTATTTACTCATCTAAGCAGCACTTCACCCTCTACACTGCTATTTATACCCATACAGTGTGTATACTCTACACACGTATGTACGTGAAGACAAACCTTAATCTTACTTTTCTACCACTTAGCAATAGTTCAGAGGCAGCCCCGGCCACACTTCAGAAGAATGTGATGTTTAGCCAGCCTGCGATAGATGCAGATAACTCCCTTCAAATCCCCCAACCACTACTCTTATCCTCAGAGGAGACTGACAGGACCGTACAATATTTGCAGGATATCTTCTACAGAGCCTCTTTTTGTTCAGCACCAGGAAGGATACTCTAGTGGTTAAGGCATTCAGATAGGACTCAGGAAGTTTGCAGCTACAAGGCAGATTGCTGAGAGAAGATCTTTGCATCTCTTCTTTGATTAATACTTAAGAAAAGGTCACTGTCTATACCTCTGAAACCTCTGAGTGCTCCATTAAACTCAAGGAAGACCAGATGTGGCATTTATCATAGTTCCAAGGGAAAAATAAACTTGAAAAAAACATAACATATAGCACCAAAACCCACTTTCTTTTCCTTTGTAGTTTCTAGATACTTTCAACAGCCATAGCCCTCCAAATCCTCCCCTCCCCCATTTCCCATTCTAGCCATATAATCTGCAACCTCAGGTAAGAGAAAAAACGAAGAGTATAACGAACCTGTTTGGTGAGAAGTTGACCTCTTGCAACTTGAAGTCACGGTTCACCACAATCTCGTGTGCAATGGTCATTTTAGAAACTTCTTGTGCTGTTTCTAGTAATTCTGCCATGGAGAGAACTCGTGGAGGGCTGGCTGCAGAAAGGAAATTAATGAGACCTAGTTCTTTATCATGATCAACTACAGTCTTAGATCCAACATTTAATAAATCTAAAAGATTTTACAAAATTTAATACGGAAATGCAAACTGAGTGAAAGCCTATGTATGTAGGGTGGGGTTAAAACATCCCCCTCAGAATATGAGAAACAACATTATGCTCCTAGCTGATGATGAAATGCTGACACCGACAAAAGTAAAACTGATCAGTTTGGTTTCTATGTCTAAACAATGGAAGATTAAATTTCATTAATGGTCAAAAGCAAGGGCCCAATCCTCTCCCAGTGAAGTCATTAGCTAAACTTCCATTAACCTAAATGGAAGCAAGTTTGGGTATCAAAAATCAATTTAAAATATCACTCTGTGGTTATTGGTAACTCCAATATAGGAAATAATTGTTCAAATTAAAATGGTCTTCAAAAGCAGTACAAGACTGCTCATTGAGTGGGCTGAATAAAAATGGATTGTATAAAAGCCTTATCAGTTCATGCTTGGTCCTATTACTTTTGACAGGTTCTCATACCTAGGCTTTAACCTCTTAATGACCTCCAGAATAATTATGCAACTAATGTCTCTATCTTGTTCCGTGGTTAAAATGAACAGTGAAACAACTACAAGTCTTAGAAGTTCTTTTAACAGCATCCCTTCCAGTGTAAAGATACCAGGAAGACATGTATTCTGAAGAAGAATTTCACATTTTTACCATTTTAAGAATAAATAAGTTAGATAAAAAGGAATTAGCGCTCTTCCTCTCAAGTATTTTCGATATAGATCTCCCAATACATGATAGATGCATTTTTCAGATGGTGTAACTGAAACTCAAAGAAGCTAAGTGCCTGAAAGCAAACACTGAGTCTGTGGCAGAGCTGGAAGTAAAACTCATGTCTCCTGACTCCCTTGGTAGGGGATTAAACACCCTAGACACATTTTGGAAATATTAGCTGACAAACTGCTGATTTTATACTGTCATTTCAGAATCTCATGAAAATCATCAGTTGTGGGACTATTATCTAGGGTTTCTACATTCTAGAGCAACAGGAAAAGTTACAGGTGAAATTCACTGACTAAATTATGGGAGATATGTGGGGTGAAAATATGATGCCATGTGGCCTAGCTTAATAGCCATAAATGGGAGAACAATTTACAAGTTGCAGGACACCAGAGACAGTACAGAATAGGAATGAGACAGCAAAGAGTCACATGTTGGAATTATGGATTCTAACAGTGCTATAGGCTTGCCTTCATATCCTCCCATTGGGTGACTCACCCTCTTGTTATATTTTAAACCTTAGCCCTCATTTTGCAATCTGGTCTGTGTACATAGACCACTAAGCCTGAAATCAATTGGGCTCTGCAAAGGCACAAGGGTCTGCCTGTGTGGAACAGATTGCAAGAGTGTGGTTTAGGATTGTAAGCATTTTGGGACAGGAAGCATTTATAATAGGTCTGTACAGGGTGCTTAGCTCTACATCCTCCCCTCAATCTGGTTGGGGTCTCTAGGGCTACTAGAATACAAATCAGGATTAAATTAGCGGAGTTGATTAATCATACAACTATTTGAAGTGCCAAGGAGACCCAGAGTTTGAAAAGGATGCTCATTTATGCTATAGTTTAAATCTAAAATAATGAGAGAACTTAGAACTAACTAGATAACCCATGCCAATGGAGCCTGCATCTGATAGATGTTTCCATAATGAAAGTATATCATTCATATACTGGATAACATTAGTAGTATGTGTGAGGGGAAATAATTTAACCTAGAAAGTTCTTGACCAGCAAGTGGAAAAGTGGATCAGGACACTAGCAACTATATGAAAGATTAATACAGGATAATTTAGAAAGCTGGGTGTAGAGAACCTTCCTCAGCTAGGCAGAGAAACAGAACAATTGCTAAATGAGTTTGAATTGATTAGCCCCTCCCAAAGCAAAGTGAAGGAAATAGCATATACCATGACTGGTGTAGAAGGGGGTATGGTAAAATGACAGGTCCCCTTTCTGAACAGATTTCAATCTAAATTAGACAAGAGGGTTGTGTGAAGAAAGGCTAGTAGCAGGTTGTATGCTATGAAATGATGTCAGTCATATAAAGCCCAGTCCTGCAAAGAATCATATACATTTGCATGCTTACTGGCCTGAGTAAGCCAGTGGGACTATACCTGCGTACAAAGTCCCTAGCTAGCTTAAATCTTTGTTGGATAAGAACTACTAAAGACACCTATGCTGCAGGAAGGGAACATTTGAATTTATTTCTGATTTTAGTACCACTGAACTGTGCAATGGAATTTACTGATCTTTTAGACAGGTGGAATTCTTAAGATGCACCACTGTTTGTCTAAGTTGATGCATATACAGAAAGTGATGTACAAGCTCTCCAAAAGTTACAATTCAACTCATCTGAGAAAGAATTCAAACTGAATTGACAAACCCAGATTCATAGTTTTGATGTGAGCCCCTTTGTCCTTTCATACTCCTCTTTTTGTATCATGTGAAACAAGAGCGACATCTAGTGACCATTAAAAAACAGCACCTGTCATTTATTGAAAGCTGTACAAGGCAGAGAAGTTCAGTTTAAAAACACTACAGTTAAGAGTCACAATGCAGTACAAGATTCTACTGCTGAATTTTGACTAACTTAAAAAAATCATTTAATGGTGGAACATGAAAGAGGTTTAGTGGAAACATGCTCTAAAGAAGCCTTTGAAGGAACAGATAAAGGCACTTTGGGGCATGAAGTGAGAGAGGAATATTTGATACAGCTGATGGGAAGTGTAAGACTTTGATCTGGGGTGATCTCTGCAAAAAATTGTGATATCTGTCCTCCCCACCCTCCTCCTCCAAGGTTAGCCGTGGGATGGGATGTGGAGCCTAGGATTCCATGTCACCAGAACAGTTAAAGATTTCAGAGTAGCAGCCGTGTTAGTCTGTATCCGCAAAAAGAACAGGAATACTTGTGGCACCTTAGAGACTAACAAATTTATTAGAGCATAAGCTGTCGTGGACTACAGCCCACTTCTTCGGATGCATATAGAATGGAACATAT